CCCCTAAAAGGTTTGTCAAAAGCATAGAAATTCAATATAATTCTCCCACATAAACTTCGGTGCTACAATAAATATTATTTGAAATATCCAAATTACTTTGCCGTCACACAATAGCGCTATTTATCATGGCGGACATTAACGATACTACCTATTCAGCAAAATTTAAATTAAATGCCGATTCACAACTACGCCAACAAAATGCCGCATGTTCCACTGCGGTATAAACAAGTGACGTCTTTTTATAAGCTTGTATTCAACAGGCAATGTATAAATGTAACATTAGTTTGTGAAGTCTTTCGTCATTCATCTTCCAACAAAATTTTAAAGCAGATATGTTCAATCAATAATAATTGAGGTAAAACTTTTGTACCCAAGTTTGTTTGTCGTAACTGTAAACAAGGGCTTCTTGTAAGTACGCAAGGTAGGTCACATTCAAATTTGCCGAAGAACCGATGATCGTTGGGGTGGACGTGTTCCAGAGAGGAGAGGCATGCAATTGGGGAGGCTATATACATAGCCTTATACTATGTCTAGCAGTGGATGAAATCGGGCTGATGATGATTATGATGCTAATGTGCGCAAGAAATTTTGCCATAAACTTCACGCCCCACCCCTGAACCCGTGAGGGTTCAAGTTTATTGGAGAGTGCTGATACCTAATATCTGAATTTGTCGGTTCGAAAGGACTGATTTGAAGGTTTCACGGGAAATCACCGTGAAGCAATGCTTACGTTGTATTTCAGCGCGAGCTTGCCGGAAGCCCCATCCTTTAAGCACCTTATCCTCTGCTTCATAACCCCAAACGGCTAGCCAAACACAACTTGAAATTCTTCAATGTTGTGGGTGCATCTGTTTATCAACCTATCCTATTAGATGATCACCGCGCACCTTCATTCATTCAACATATTAATGGCTTTGTAATAGTGAATATTTTAGATTGTTTTGGTCTGCTGTGGTAAAAGTGAGTGATAATTAAATTTATTATATTATATTTATTATAAAAGAAACTGTTTTTTTTTTACGTTTGATACCAATAATAAAAATTCTTTGACCATACATTATACTTTTTACCAACACCATCGTGGATCGTCCAAAACCAAGATTTTAATATTAAACGACTGATAATAACGAAAACAAAGAAAAGTCCTCAAGTTTTCTGATTGCATGGTCACCCTAGTAACCGAGTTGCCGTGATCGGAATAATTGATGAGCTATCACCGATTCGATGCTCGCCACGTGTTCAGAATGTATATGTATTTTATGTTATGATTTTGCGATGAGGTCTTTTTCTTAACAACTGTAGTATAATTATGTTTGTAAATCATATAAAAAACCTTATTTGATTAAAATTATCTACTTGCTACATTCGATTTTGGATCAGAGAAAATATGTTAAGTTTTTTTTCGGTTTGAATTCTCCGAAATTGGAAAGAGTCTTCTGAGATTAAAATATGTACTTTTATTACAAGACGACCGGTCCGCCCTTGCTTCGTTCGCGTCACTCAGTCTAACTACATCGCTGTCAGTCATTTGTTTTGTTAGCACAGGGTAGTTAGTGCCAATCATAGCCTCTAGTTTTTAAAAAAAAAGGTCGACTCAAACTGATTGACCGAAACCTTTATTCCTTAAAGGCTCACTCGTTTCTCTTTCCGGCATTAGGTAATGCGTCTGTAGTCAACCATAAAAAAAAATATGCCATGACGATGGGAAATATATTTTTTTAAGAATTAAATTGAAGGACAGGACTATGCCTTACATAGTACTTTCTTGATATTTTGTTCTATAAGGTTTTGTCAGCTACTATATTTTGATCAATACAGTAAAATTTATATAGGCCGTTAGTGAGAATTCCAACAATACATAAAAAAATGGATTTGTTTATTGTATTTTATTATTGTTGCGCGATTAAAATAGATTTCCCAATAAAACTAAATCTTGATACTATTCAGAATAAAAATCAACAATTTTATCAGTAAAAACAGCTATTAAAATATCTGAAGAAACGAGCACAGATCGATTTTATAGGCGACAAATGGCGTTCAAATACTATTTTTAGACCTTTGATGTTTCTAGTTCAACGGTAAGGAGAAATGTGTTAGCAATCTGCAGTTTTATGGTTTTTTACGAAAAAGGTTGACTGAGAAATCTTTTAAAGTGTATCAATTCTAGTTTATTCGGTTAGTTCATCCTACTAATATTATAAACACGAAAGGTTTGGAAGTATAGAAGGATAGATGTTCGTTGCCCTTTCAAGCAAATATCCGTTGCGTTGTTTCGAAGTTTTAAACATACATAGGGATTTAGGGATATAGGTACAGAAAAGCGTCTTTGTTTAATCTATACTTCTATACTAATATTATAAAGAGGTAAAATTTCTATGCTTGTAAGTTTGTAAGAGGGGGGTAATCTTTGGAACTGCTAGTCGGATTGCCAAAATTCTTTCACTGTTAGATAGCTACAATGTTGCTGAGCGCTGTAGGGTATAAAACATCACGCTACGATCAAATGGAGCAGCAGGTGAAACCGCATGAGAGTAGCTAGTGAAATATAATAATAATATTAAATCAATGCATCAAATAAACTGCATAATCACGAATTCCAGTAACCTCACTCGTGTCAAATTCAAAGTCAACAGACTATTAACTACTGAACTATCAAAAAAATATTGTGTCAGTCTATCTGTCAATCCTCTGGTGAAGCTATATGCTCGTTCCAAAGTGTAGATTCTACGAATGCTACAAATTTCAACGCAAACGTCATTTCACGCTGGTTCTGACATCACTTTAGACATGGTATCACTTCGGTCAAGCCGGCCCGTTTGTGCTAAAGATCTCCCTTTTTTTAGTTTAGTTTTATGCTATTTAAGACTCTTTTGGAAAATCGTAAAAATAAATAAGTAAGTAGGTAAACATTAAATAATCTATGCAAATATGGTAACCCGACTCGTTTATTTTATTACGAAATATCGATACCGTATCACATCACTACGTTTAACGAAGTCATCGTTTGCAGGCGTATCGATATCGAGGACATCGGCATTCGATATTTAAACCAACTACCCTTTACGTCATCGAAAATTTGTCTTAGCTAGTACCTACAGTTATCTTGTTAAACCATTTTCAACCTTAAATTTAGATAAAACAAAGCTTGTAATGGTAAACGTACTATCTATAGAAACTATTGGAATTTTCACAAGATTTTTATTTCGTAGTAGTAAAGTTCAGTTTCGTAAATATTTTTTTTTTTTAATTTTTGAAGTAGGTTTATTCTATTTTTGAACCTAATATGATGTCTAGGGAAAATATTATCCTGCAAAAAAAGAAATTGAGTTGTGATAACAAAACAATGCTTCACCAAAATAAATCAAAGTTATAAAAACTATGTTCTATACTTCTTTTTATAACTTACACATCATCAGCCTAAAAATCCTACTACTGAGTAAAAAAGGCCTCTTATTACACGGAAGGTTTGAGCAAGAGTTACCACGCCTACTCACGACGGATCGGCGGATTTCAAATTTAGAACTAGAAATTATAAGACCAGTAGGCCTACCAAGCGTATCTTTCGGGCGAGAAAGAGGGATGGAGCTATACACCTTTTATAGCTCCATCCCTCTTTCTCGCTCATGGTAAGTCCTCAGGTTTTCTTATGATGTATTTATTATTCCTTCAAAGTTTGTTAGTGGTGTCTAAATAAAATTAGAATTTATATACGTCGGAAAAAGACCTATAGCACTTATCAGCATAAGGAGTTAAATTCGTTATAGGTCGAACTAATTAAAACTACACTAATTTGCCTGCACGGCTGGCATGCTGACTACCGCGCAACCTATCGCGGGTTCGATACAAACATGGAACAACTTTAAATTCTTTGTGTGATCCTCGAACAATAGTTCCAGATCTGGTTTTGATTTGTATGTGAAATAATATGTTTATAACAGCATCCACGCCATAGGAGAAAAAGCTAGTGTGGGGCTATGTTTTACCTAAAAAAAACGTTTTAAGTGGTTTTAAAAAGATACTCTAGTCACAAAAATGCCTTGCTTTACCTTTCAACGCCTATATCCTTCAGAATTACTCAATTCACAATTTTCATTTTACATTTTAAAACTAGAACAAATAGTACTTCAATGAAGTACTTTATGAAGCCTTCCTTTCATTGGCGATATGTTTGCTCGATAGCCAACTTCAATATCGAGAGCTTTCGCTGAAAAAAAGACTTCATGAAAACTTTCCAACTGTTGGTTTTTTGAAGGAATCTATTATTGATTGCTAGTTTATTGGTCGGGTCTTTTTCTGTAGGGGGAAAGTCATCAAATAAATTCTCTCTCCCCAGGTCTTCCAGAATCCTGATCAGGGTTGCCATTGGATAATGTTTACCTTAAAAAAAAGATCCTGATAGTTTTGCCTGGGTCCAAGCGCAATAATTAGTAGTAGTAGTAGGCCTTGGCCTGGGGCAGAAAAAGGAACAAAAAACAGAAACAAAAATTGCAATCCTAACACTAATTTCCCGTCTCCCCATCAATACTTAAAAAACACCTTTTTTGCGAGGGGAAAATCAAATTATTTCTCCCGTACAGGGTGAGGCGAGACTGACAGACTCTTACTGACTAAAACCCCCAGTTCCTTCTTCTGCTCTAGGCCGAGGCCGCGGTGCCTAATTGCACTTACCCCGCAACCCCGGCTTAACAACAGCCCATCTGACTGCACGATTGGCGCGGTGGCTGGGCAACTGGCTGCCGCGCAACGTGTCGCGGGTTCGATTCCCGCACGGAACAACTCTTTGTGTGATCCACAGATTGTTGTTACGGGTCTGGGTGTGGTGTGCATGTGAAATTGTATGTTTGTAAACGCACCCACGACACAGGAGAAAATCCTAGTGTGGGGCAAAGTTTTTATAAAAAAATAATAATAATACAAAAAAAAAATAAAAGAAATTCTGTGGTAGTACTTATTAATTACTTATTACGTATACTTATTAATCCTTTGTTTGTTTGTTGCAGCTGCACTCCGAGTACCGCAGCACTTACAAATGGCACGAATACAAGGAACAGCAACAGGGCGTGGTGAAGCAGCCAGCACCCACACCCCCCTCCGTACTGCCCATACAGAGGGGTTAGTATACCCATAAACAAGAATACAATAGAATATTGAAAGAAACCCTTAGATCTCATTATATTATTTATTACTCTCATTACTTTACTAACTCAAATGACTATACATATGTATATCACATAATCAGTTTATAAGTACATACGCACTGCTGAGCAAAGGCCTCTTATCACACGTAAAATGTTTGGGCATTGATCACCACACATTTAAGCAATAATTAGAAATTATAAGTCCAATTTTCCTCTCGATGTTTTCCTTCACCATATGTCACTGAGGGTGCTTATATTTTTTTTTTTTTTAATAGGTCGGCAAACGAGCAGACGGATTACCTGGTGGTAAGCAATCAGCGCCGCGCATGGACACCCGCAACGGAGGAGTTACGAGTGCGTTGCCGACCTTTTAGGGATTAGGGATTTGGAGATTTAGGGATTTAGGAGGGATTGGGGGAGGGGAAGGATTGGGCCTCCGGTAACCTCACTCACACGGCGAAACAACGCTGTGGTTATTTCACGCCGGTTTTCTGTGAGGCCGTGGTATCACTCCGGTCGAGCCGACCCATTCGTGCCGAAGCATGGCTCTCCCACACTTATACTGAAAGCAAATTCTAATAATATAATTAAGTTACAAATCGCCAATCAGCCTTGAGCAAGCGTGGTGATTAATGATCTAACCTTCTCCTCGTGGGAAGAGGCTTTTGCTCAGTAGTGGGCACATATAGCCTGATGATGTGTGTGTGCATTGATAAAATATTCTTTGTGTGGATTTCATCTCAGATTTGATTTAAACTGACTATATTTTTCCAGCACGCTTCCAGTTATATATACCTAACTAAACCTAGATCCACCAATGAGTACTAGAATAGGAATTGCTCCTTGACCTCTTTCGGGGTCAACCTAAATCCGCCAGCGATCCCAACGGGGTCCTTTTATTGACCCCTTTTTTTCTAGGACACAATTAGGGATGGGACGATGTCCCATGTGTGAAGACGTTTGAGAGATATAAATGACATATTAAAGCATCTGATTACCAAAAGGACATAGTGATAGATGAAGCTTTTGGGCATTTGTAGGGCAGAAATTGATACTACCTATTGTAGTTCATTTCTTTGTTCTCCTACAAAAGTAATTAGAAATTTTGACTGCACGGTTGGCGCGGTGGCTGCGCAACTGGCTGCCGTGCAACGTGTCGCGGCTTCGATTCCCGCACGTAACAACACTTTGTGTGATCCACAAATTGTTATTCCGGGTCTGGGTGTGATGTGTATGTGAAATTGTATGTTTGTAAACACACCCACGACGTGTGTGGGGCAAAGATTTTATTAAGAAAAAAAAAACTACACTAGAAGGTCTTTACTAATAGGGCTTCAAAAAAATTGCAAGAAACTTTGTGTAGTCTAGATCTTTTAAAATTTGTACTTATTAATATTTTCTTTGAGTCATTGATTCACAATCACCTTAATAAAAGACGACATAAGTCACTATATGATTTGTTTATTTATTTGTTTATTTTTACTGTATACGATGTAATGTCAGAGTTAACGCCTTAGGCGTTCCCTATCAGTCTACCTTTGGGTGGTGGTGAAATAAAAGTGGTTGGTGCAACTTTGTTGGACTACGAATCCTCGATTAAAAAACCAAAAAGACCAAACGACATTCGTAGTACTCGTAAAGATATACCTACCTTTATTTTAGGTTAAGTCTTAAAGCCAAAATATGTATGTGTGCCTAATGTGTTGTTTGATAAGTCATCAGAACACAATCGGGATTGAAGCGAAATCTGATCGCGTCGTGATCTGACAGGTTGCATCAAAAGCGATCAGAATAACTGTATATTTTAGAAAATGCCTTCGGCATTAAGTCCTCCATAGTGCCAAAAATATTAAAATAAATTAACTAGCTTCTACTAACTAGCTCTTGTAGTATGTTGAATGAAAGTAGCCTATGTCCTATTCCGGAGTTCATCCTAAGCTTGTGCCAAATTTCATCCAGATCCATCAAGCTGTTTTGGCGTGATTGAGTAACAAACATCCAAACATCGTAACTTTCGCATTTATAATATTAAGTAGTAAGGTACTTTTGTAGGCCCATCGCGACATTATTTTGTGTTCTCGAGCCACGTTACATCACGGCAAAACACGTGTTGCCATGCGAAAAAAAAATTTCTAATGTAACTTTTTTTATAGAAACTTTACCATCCTATTTTATCGACAGGGCCAATGGAGCCAGCGATGCCTCGTCGCAAGAAGTACCCCGGAGTGGCATACAAGACAAACGAGCTGTTCGACCCGGCGCCTGCTGACGATATCAGGCCTCAGCAGACATCGGCCTTCGATAGAGCCAGGGTAAGCTGACATTTTCCAAACATGAAATCAATGAGTAAGTGTAGAAAAGCCAGGCTTCGGCACGAATGGGTTGGCTCGACAGGAGTGGTACACAGCGTTGTATTTCGCCGTGTGAGTGAGGTTACCGGAGGCCCAATCCTTCCCCTCCCTCAATCCTTAAATTTCCAAAACCCTGATCCCAAAAAAAAAAGTAGAGTTAAAAGACAGAAAAGTATTTTTTTTTTTAAATAACATCAGCTACACAAAATTGGAGGACCATTTTATTAGCAGCCTGTGTTGACTGGAGAGCTCTGTAGTCTATGTTTACCTCGAGTCTATGTTGACTATGGCCTTTATTTCGTTCGAAAACAGTCTGTGTTTACATTTAGTTCAAAATTAATAATGGTGCACGTAGCGCTTGAATACACAGCGTACGATAATTTAAAAAAACTTAGTTCGTACATTTGCAGTAGAAATTCCAAACATGTATATTTTGAGCATAAAACTCGTTTTAGAAGAAAGGAAAATATTCTGTGATCATTCCCATTCAAGTTTTTTGAATGGATTTTCTCTCGTATCGTGGTTTAACATTAATATACATAATATGTCAAATTATTTCTCAAAATATCTACCGTGCCGAAGCATGGCTCCCACACTGAAATAAGTTATCAAGGCTTAAATTAGTAGCAGTTACTATCATTTCTCTGGTTCTTTCTACTTCTTTAAGATGTAATTGGCACAAGGTCAACTTACCTTAATCTGTTTATTTTCAACTTTATATCAGACTAGCTAGTCCCGCGCGGATTCACTTGCTGCTCGGCTCCATTTAATCGTAGCGTGATGTTTTATAGCTTCAAGCACATAGGAACATCGTAGCTATCAATCAGTGAAAGAATTTTGGAAATCCGACCAGCGGTTCCAAAGATTACCCCCTACATACAAACTTACAAATTTTACCTCTATATAATACTAGCGGCCCGCCCCCGCTTCGCACGGGCCCATCTATCATGCTATCAAAGTGCCACTTTTTCCTAATCTTCCCCTCTACTTTTCTAATATTTTCTTTGGATAAGAACCTTCTCCTGACAATAAGAAACGCAACAAAAACGCAGCAAAATTGGTCCAGGCGTTGTTGAGTTATGCGCTTACCAACACATTTTGCGATCCGTTATTATATATAAAGAAGATTAGTATAGAAAAGTCATATGTCTTGCAATTATACAACGAAGATCTCTCAAGCTTAAAAAGTGGGATCTGCAACTCACCTTTTTATGGATTTTGGATAGGAAGAGACATGACTCACCTGTTGGTAAGCAATTGGTACCGCCCATGACCTGCAAAACCAAAGCCTATCCAGGTTCCTTAAGATTTGAGGATTGGGGATAAAGGGATTAGATATAGTCAGCCTGAGGCGTGTTATATGTGAAGATTATAGCAAACATAAATGTTTTATCATAAATTAACTAAAATTCGCGGGTTACTCACGTGTAAATGTAAGCTCTACTAGTTTCGAACCACAGAGGGGTTCTTCCTCATGAGCAGCGTGCGCGGACGCGGCGACGTCCGTCCGTTTTATCATAACTTTGTACTTCTGGACTTCGAGGGTTTCTAGCTCAGATAAAGGAGCCTCGAAACTCATTAAGTTTAGAAATAGAATGTCATTAAAGTGTATGTTACAAATTATTGAAATAAATTATTTTGTTTGTGCAGAGTGCGCAGAGGAATGATGCTGATCGCGCTGGGCGCCGCAGCAAGTCCGAAGGTCCGCGCCAACCGCGCTGGACTGACACCGTGGAACCCAAGGTAATAGCTTATAAACATAATATCCTGTTAGCCAAATCCTATATCTAAAAAGAAAATAAATAATAAAAACCGTTATACGGAAGCCAAGAAACAAAAGCTAAAAAGATGCGCTAAAGTATTAAAATTTCTTAACTAGGGTAGTACAAATGTAAGTTACATAGTACAATATTCTTAGGACGGTAGATCTCTCCCTCTCTCTCTCTTTCTCTCTCTCTCTCTCTCTCTCTCTCTCTCTCTCTCTCTCTCTCTCTCTCTCTCTCTCTCTCTCTCCGACGTTAAAGTAATACTATTACTAGCAAACATGACCGTCCCCAAAACAGCAATATGAACTTCTTAAATTCTCACCTAAACCCACATAAAGAAATAGCAGTCTGAATTAACAGTAGATACAAGGTCGTTTTTTTAAAAAGAACGATATAAACATATACAAAAATATCTACAAAACATCACAATACCTATGACGTAGATGGATACCGTGAGAAACTCGAAAACGGATAAATATTTACACAATCTGTACACAATGTAATCGCTAAAAGATTTCAGTGCAAGTTAAATGATCCAATTTAAAAAAAACTCAAATTCATGGTACTCAAATCACGTCTTATTATTTTATGTAGAAATTGACACGATTAACATATTCTTTAAATAGGTAACACTTTCTCTCAACAACCAATGTCTTATCCTTATCTAATCTCCAGTTGATAACAGCTCTTGTGTTAACAAAAGAGTGACAACTTAATACGAAAATCATTCTTATCAACAGCAGTAAGTGGTTGAGGCTATTTTGGCGATCAGGTCATTGTGATGTGATTTAAGTGTTTAAGTTAAAATACAATAGTTTTTTCCGTAACACATTCTAGGATTGTAGAGATGAGAATGTTGAGATGGATGTATGGTGTGACGAGAATGGATAAAGTGAGAAATGAGTATATTAGAGGAAGTTTGAAGGTGGCGCCAGTGACTGAAAAGTTGAAAGGGAACCGTTTGTCTTGGTATGGCGATGTAAAAAGGAGGGATGAAACGCATGTTACAAAAAAAGCCGTGAGTATAAATGTGGATGAATGGAGAGGGAGACTAAAGAAAATATGGATGGATTGTGTCAGAAGTGATATGGAAGACAGAGGAGTTAGTGATAGCTTGACGGGTGACAGGACATATTGGAAGAAAAAAAACATATTGCGGAGACCCCAAATAAAACGGGACAAGGGCAGGAAGATGATGATGATTCTAGGATTTTATGTGTATTGGTATGGCAAGAAGGAGTGTCTGACTCTTACTGACTTATTCTCGAGTCTGGTTCTTTTCGGGCGACGAGCTATCCTTGCTCCGCTGACCCGCACTTATGCCCGGAGTGTCTTCTTCTGCGGGGGCTAAGGCATAAGGAGGATAGTTTCCTTATGCACTCAACCTTCTTCTTTGTGAGTAGCACTGCAGAAAGACCAGACTGCTTTCCAGTTCCTCTCGCTCCGCACCATAACCTTGATTAGGACTTCAGAAGTAATAGATGTCCCCCTCAAAGGGCACGCGTCCTACATACTCACTGCCTACACAATATACGATTTACCAAGTGTTATTGTGGAGTACGGTGGCATTATAAGTCTCAAATTTGACATGACCTTGAGCGTTTTTGGCTGCATTTTTAAATAACCTTGAGCTTGTCATATGAAATAAGAGGGCACCTAGTTTCGGCCGAATAATGTTAAGGATACCCTGCTACAAATTATAAATTGAAAATTTAGAAAACCCCCGAAAAAAAATCTAATGTTCCTTTAAAAAGTGATAATTAAAAGAAAACGTGGCGTTGGGGACCGATCCATTTATTTTGTTATCGACTACATATTTCTATTTTGTCAGGGGTCTAACTTATTTTTATATTTTATACTTTTTATATAATTTCCTCTCGATTAAGTCATCAACATTCCCTTTCAGTGCGCTTTCATTTGAGACTCCACTCGAGTATATTTGCAGACCTTCGGTTACCCTTCCCCACTTACCCCCCCATAACTTCTAAATGGCTCAACCGATTTTCGTCAAACATGTCTAAGAACACTTGCACGTAAGTCACCTTAAATACAAAAAAAACTAAATTGAAATCGCTTCACCCGTTCAGGCTCCAGGATGCCACAGACAGACAGACAGACAGACACGTCAAACTTATAACACCCCTCTTTTTGCGTCGGGGGTTAAAAAGGATGAAAGCTTTGTATCAAGTATAAAGAGGTATCTAAATAGAGTTTTTTTTTCATTTTTGAGTGCAATTAAGATGTATCTGTGCCAAAATACTGCTAAACGCTTAGTTGGGTGTGTACCAAATACTAAATTTGACAGTATGCCCACATACGGTGCCAACCATAAGCAGTTATTAACGGGCAGATTAAGTGGCTAGATTAATTGCATAGCCTAGCCGTTTATTAATCAAGTCTTCTATAAGTAATGTGGTATAATAATGAGTTACTTTATAGAAGATCAATTTGTAGATTAGGAGTAGTATTACCTGGGGTGTGATTCTGTAAGACTTCATTCTAAATTTCGAATCTGAATCCGCTGTGAGTAGTAGTACACTAGCGCTACACTTGCGAGTTGAACTAAATTGACAGCAACATTTTGATAGATAAAGTATGAGATGACGTTAAAAGTGGCATTCCAAAATTTAATTTCGACGCTCACTTCGCACTCGAACACGATTCAAAATTAAACAAATTTTATAGAATCGACGTGCTGTATGGTGTGGAAGATCCAAGCTTCGGCACGAATGGGTCGGCTCGACCAAAACAACTATAGCGATATGTTTCGCCGTATTAGTCTGGACAGTCCAAATCTTCCCCTTTTGACCCCTAGATTTCCGAAACCCTTATCCCCAAAAGTCCGACGAAGCACTCGTAACTCTTCTAGTGTTGCGGGTGTCCATGGGCGGCGCCGATTGCTTACCATCAGGTAATCCGCCTACTCGTTTGCCTATTTGTCCCTTGAAAATCAGTATTACAGTTCTTGTTTTGGTCAAATCTCTTCTGCATTTACCTATCATACATATAAATCTTAATTGTGTACCCTTTACTTTACATAATACATTATTTGTAATTCTCACATTATAACTTCATCTACTAACTTGAAGTATAACTACAGACATTCTACTAACATATTAAATCAGGAGCCGAAAAACATACGATCAAAATGAGGAACCATCTTTCTTTAAGTGGATTACAAGCTGGTATAATCTCAGATACAAATAAATCCAGGGTTGCGGGCAAGTGTAAGGTACCATGGTGAAGCCGTGGTTCCTTATTGCCTGAAGCAGGAAATTGAACGGGGAGGTTTTTATTCATTAAGAGTCTGACACTACCTCTCTCCTGACCCAGGGCCAGAGAAGTAATTTAATGATCTTCCAACCTTAAGAACTAATACAAAAGAACGGAAACCAATCCACGCTAAATAAAGACATCAAACTCCAATTAGCAACAACATCTCATAGAAAACAACGTCCACGAAGATTAATAATTAAAGAACAATTTTACAAATCATGTACGAACGATTATTAGCAATCAGTTTTTATCGGACGTCTATTAAAATAGCGGAGAGATGCAAGAATAATTAGTAATTGATTAATTATAAACTAGAAGCTGTATCTTAGCACGCTTTGTAAACTCCAATGGCCGGAATAAGGAACTTCCGTTAAGAAATTGTAACGTTACACTTCTTTATAAAATGTGTTATGGTTATTAAGTGTTGATTGGTGATTACAAGAATGGTGATTGATTGAGCTAATGGTGTTGTGTTCAATCCAAAAGATTGCTGTAATTGAGAAAAGTTTGAGACTCGAGTCTGGCATTGTGTCATCATTATCATCATCATCAGTCTATAAGTGCCCACTCCTGAGCAAAGGCATCCTCTTATACGGAGAAGGTTAAAGCATTAATCACCACGCATGCTCAATGCGGGTTGGCGATTTCAAACTTATAATAAGAAATTATAAGTCCAGGTTTCCTCACGATGTTAACCTTCACCGTATGTCAGTGGTGTCTAAATAATCATCGAAAGTACATATAATTCGGAAAAAGTCACTTTGGCACTTGCCAGGTTTCAAACCCACACACTCATGCATGAGAAGCGGGCTCCTTAACCTCCGGGTCACCACGACAACGGCAACGACACGGCATTGTCATTGTGTACGATGGTTTGAAATTACCCAATGACCCATTTTTCGTTTTGTTTTTGGCATATCATCAAATATCATCCTTTTCAGAATTCTTGGTTCGCTGGAGGGAACCACTTTGCTCCTTCTTGTGCTTCGAGACGGGGCCGCGGTGCATTATTACATTTGCACTCGCAACTCTGCCTGATAAAGACGTGTGTTGCCTTCCCAAGAAGACCAGCTAACGGACTAAAGATTTGACAAAGATCAGGCAGGGCAGCTACAGTTCTATTCTGTTCTGGTATTGCCCTGAATATTTAAATTAATTTAATTAACACATTCAGGTGATAATGGCCCTTAGACACATTAACCTTAAACTTGATACTTTGACCTTAAAAACGAACATATACATATAAAACAAAAATTGTTAGTAAAAAAATCCAAAATCTATTTCAGTACCATTTAACTATGCACTGTGCCATTGTACGTTCATGTGGAATTTGTCCGCGAGAGCGACGAAACGCCACATTCTGTGGCCAGAGGCTCTCGTCCAAGACCAAACCTTTAATGAGGTTAACCCCTTCTTATATAGACGAGGTCTATTGGCAAGAATGTCATATTGTTTGGCGATTTTGTTTTTACCAACCCACCATTATCTTTCTCCAGGCTACAACGGCGTTGGGAGAGGTGATGGCAGCCAAGGAGCCCGAGATAGTGAGCACGGAGTACCGCAACCAGTTCGCGTGGCCCAAGGACACTACTGATGCCCCCAGGAAAAGCATCTCCATGGGAGCGCTGAAGAAAGCTGCCGTAGCCGAAGGTAGGTCTTACCCATGGCTTAGGAAATGATGGAACATTCCCAAATCCTGCTTTTTTTCGATGTTTACTCTATCTATATCTATAATATGGGTAATTTTTGGAACCGCTGGTCGGATTGACAAAACTTTTTCACTGATAGATAGCTACAATGTTCCTGATTGCTATAGGCTATAAAACATCACGCTATGATCAAATGGAGCCGAGCAGTGGGTGAAACCGCGTAAGAGTAGCTAGTATCGTATAAAGTTTAATACAACTATTCTTGATGTTCAGCGTTCGTTATGATTTCCTTCCCTTTTGATCACTCCTAAAAGCCTCACGCGAGAGGCACTCCTTCCCTATCTCTCCTCCAGATGGCGAAAACATGAAAGGAGACGGGGACTTCTGGGCCCTCACGTAATAAGTTGAAGTAGGGCTTAAAAAAATGATTATTTTTTTCTATTTAACATAGTGAAAAATCAATTTATTTTACAATCTGGGAAATGAAAAATCCAACAATTTAGTTAGGGTTACGAAGTAATCGGATTATCGATTCAATTGTAATTAATAACTCTGTAACGAACAGAGTTCATACTATTTACGAAAATGATGTCACTGAATGATTTAGTTAATTAAAATAATTAAATCAATTAAACTCACAGAATTAAGAGTTTAAACTGAGTTTAGAGTTCAAATGTCAACATAATTAAAAATATTTTATCGATTCGATTTTACTAATCGATTATTGTATTTTTAATCTGTGCTAGCTCTGACATGTATGACATGACACCGATCGACACTCGTTTCGAATCGTCTATGCGTGTGCGTTCTGAGTGTTTTTATTTTCCTCCCATTTTTCTTATTGGTATTTTCCTCAGCCCGGCTTTCCCACGGACCTTTGATTTTCCTCCTTCTACGACTCTTGCCTTGCTACAATTACCATACCGGACACGGAGAACTTCGCTTAAACGTTGAACTTGGACTTGCATATTTTGGATTCGACGAACAGCCTACCGATAGGATATTGATCGACATTATGGATCGTTGTGTAAATTGTGGCATAGCGACTAGTCGCTGTAATACACTAGGACGTGGAGCTTTGGATGACGAAATGATATTAGCAGTGATTCGAAAATGGCCAAAAGAGGAGGCGAAAGGAGGAGGCTGACCTCCTCCTTGGCGAGCCTTACTGCATAAGCCTTGCCTGCTAAGTAAACTAAAAAGACGAGAAAGTAGGTAAACAAGAAGTAAGCTATGCTGTGCAGTCGAAGGATGCATCTGGTTTATATTTGATATTTGTTTATATACAAACATAAATACATACAAATATACACACGTATACTATTAAAACCATTACCCGCCTCCGGCAATCGGGTAAAAATCACTATCGCACTTAAAAAATTGGCTAATATATACAGATTGTTACTTAACCTCACTTTTTTTAAATCTTTTATATCTCGGCTCCCAGATTGCCAATATTTGCGAAATTTTCAGTAATTGTTTGTTAATATAGTAGCTATCAAATGACAGCAGTTTCATCTTTTTACATCCAGGCCCAAAATTGTATGAAAGCGTATCCGTCTCCTTTCCACTACAAAAACAGGTTCAGACCCCGGCTTACTGAGGTCATAAAGAGGTTAATGGTTTATTAGCCTGCCTATCTGCCTAGATAAGCTATCTCGTTGACCTGTTACTCACAAAGTCGGAAGTGGCTACTGGCTATGAGTGGAAGCGAGTTTTGGGTTAAAATTTTGAGTCCCACAAACTTTTATTGGAAATTTCAGAATTCATTCTTAATTTGGACGTATCACTGCAATCTGTCTTAATAAAGTACAAAACTATAGTAGGACTTCCCAAAGTAAATTGAAAGGTCCTTTACACCAGAAACGAACACTTAAATCTTGATTTATTTATAAACTTTCATCACTCACTTTAGCAGACGCTAAGTTATGCAACTCCTAAATTAATACGCTAGCACTCGAACAAACTTGTTCATACGCACCTGGGAAACAGGGTTGCCTCCTTATCAGATAAGTTACTCTCATCGTGTAGCTTCGCCCAGGCGTTAGTTAAAAGTTAAGAATATTTAATAACGAAATCATTAAGGGTCGAAACATGAGTAAATTTTTCCGTGGTGTTTGGTGACTGGGCTTCTCCCAGTTGTACAGTCTCTTCTGTGCTTTTAAGGCCTAAGTCATTCTGTCTCCTGCATTAAATTTACCAAGGGGAGGGTTTACTATTTTGTTTTTTTTTCTTTTCAAATAATATGTATACTGATTTATTTCGTGGCGGGATCCAAGACAGTCATTCATGTACCAGGGCCGCAACATGACTTCAGTGTTCCGGTGTTTTCATGGTTTTATCTACTGTGAATCCTGGCTTACAGGAGTTGCCAGGAGGAGGCCCGATCCTTTCCCGTCAACCACAGAGAACCATCCATAGACAGAGACATATGGTATTAAGTAAAGAATTAGGAGCTACAATTTAGATCACGAAATGAAGGTAGTATAGAGTTTGGTCTATTAGACTAATCACTGCAACTATAAAAAAAATATTTGGTGTTTTTATTGAATTAACAATTAATTTGATAAAAGCTAATTCTCTATCGGACATCCGCATCAAGTGGTGAGCCAACCAAAATTAGGTCTTAATACTTTACTCCAAAACCTAATTATTCTAGCAGAACCTGCAGAATTATTCTCAAACAGAACAGACAGCTTCTTCAATACTACAACCCTATCAGAAGTCCTAAGTTATTCAGATTACTTCCCCAACTCAGAACAAGATCTGAAGGAAATGCATTATTTATCAACCAAAGCTCGTTCCCATAAAATATCTGAATATTATTCAAATTGCCAGTCTGTTGGCCAGAATTGTTCTTAACATTACATGATGGCTATAATAAATGGTTTAGCTATTAGGGGTTGTATAAAACTGTCTTCTGGATGGTCTGTTCGTGAAATGTTTATAGAGTTTCACAGGTTTTCGCGTAATGGTTGTGTGCAACTATTCGTAATGAAGCCAACTAATGACAAAGTTGGTAGAAGATGTCAATGTTTTGAACAAGCAGTAATTTATGGTGTTGGTTAGTCAATGCTCACCACGTAAGTTAGGAATCTCATGTCCATTTTAACACATTCAGTGCCCTCGACGCACCTGTGCGTTCTATACATTAATGTATTGAACGCACAGGTGCGTCGGGGGCACTGAATGTGTTAAGGAAGCGTGATGTTTCATGTTCAGACCTTCTCTGTACGAGGAGAGGCCTTTTGTTAAGCAGTGAGCACTTAAATGCTGGTGATGATGATGTGTATTAGGTTTATGACAAAAATTTGGTTCGATCCGATCGATCGTCAAAATCAGATTATTTATTTCAATTAGACCAAAACAATGAACCAAAAGGCACTTTTGAATATGGAACAAAGATTTTTAAAGATAAATGCTAGTCTGGCGGTAGCACAACAACCAAATCCAACGCGGAAAACAGTAACATCAATAAACCTCGTAAAATACAAAGAAAAACATGACTTCAACTTTAACAAAGAAAGAAAACAATTTAAATATAACAAAAAACCCTCAAACTCAAATAATACAATCAAGAACGTAACACGGCGTAAAATACGTTTGACAAAAAATGTCTTGCATTTTTTTATTTTACGCTCTTAATATCCGGTTGCTCATGGCGAATGGAGATCAATGTCAAAGACCTCAGTCAATGCAACTCTTGCTCAGCTTTTTAGAGATATTGTTTCAACGAGGTCATTTCGACAATATTTAGCATTTACCAACGTTTATAGGTCATTTTTGGCAAGGTTTTATGAAAGGCGTTGTATATATTTGTGTATGGAATTCGTACTTCCATGAAAAGAAAACTTTTGTTATTTTGGAATTAAATGAAGTGTTGATAGAGAATTTTCGGTATCACAAAGTCTAAGGCCCGCCGCTGACTTTTGGTACAGTCACCTGACTGCTCGTTGGTAACAATGTAATGGATACCTAAATTAAATAAGCTGGATAAAGGTCACTAAGGAGCAGACTCTCATAGCAGTGTAGGTACAGGTTGGTTGACTGAAAATCAGTCACACTGCATTAGTTACCTAATTTTGAAAAACCTAAAAACTTTATTAAACTCAGCTTAGTAATAAAAAGTCGCAGTGTCAAACATAATTAGCGGCGAGCCTCGAAGTAAAATTTGTGTCATAATGACAAATGAGACAGAGTTTTCATTATCATCAAAATTAGACTTAGACAAAGCCGAATGTACACGTACATAATAACTATGACAAAAATGAAAAAGTTATTTAACTCAAACAGCTGGAACCATTTTGATTATTTCTAGTACAGATACTTACAGATTTCAAACAAAGTAGATGCAAACTTAACTTTCGTTAAATATCATGTTGAACATACAAACATAATATGTAATAAAACGAATTAAACCACAAATAAAGAATGAATAGAAGAAAATAAATGAACATTTATTACCACAATGGAGCCTAAGAATGAACGAGAATAAAAGAACGAACAACAAATAAAATTAACAGCTGCCTGCTCAATGAAACGCCGCCATTATAAGTTTAATTGCAAATGTTTTGCTTCGAAAATCCTATTGAAGTTTACTGAAATGAACGTTATAGATAGATATTTACTTTTGAAAGCGAATTCTAAGATTCAAAGTCCGTTATATATTTTTAATTACTGAAGGCGTCTAGTGATAGCAGAATGGAATAATAACAGAAAAGTATAAGAGACCCATGCTTCGGCATGATGGGCCGACTCGACTTGAGAGATATTAATTAAGGCCACACCGAAAACCAACGTGATGCTTATGATATGTTTTGCTGTGAAAATAAGGTTTCGTGAGACCAATTCCTCCAAAATCCATTTTCCATATCCTTAAATGAACCTCCAAAAAGCCGGCAACGCACTTAACTTGATGTTATGAGTAGCGCAGATTGCTAGACATCAGGTGATCTGCCTGCTCGTTTATCGATCTTTCCCATAAAAAAGAATACACTTGTACACTACCTAGCCCTACATTTGTTTATCAGAACGAGTCAAATGATTTTCGGATTTCTTAAAGATGTGCAAATATTAAAAATTTAATCGTTCCCTTAACAATCCATAAGTTAACTTTAATCAACATTTGTACTCTTTTTTCACATGAACATCCGCAAATTCCAGGTCTAGTTGAAGCAGAACCACTGATGAACCACGTGGATGGTGATCATGATGACCACAAGCGGTACATCGAAGATTACCTCTGGAATGGACAGAAACCTGGAGTCCAGAGGTGAGTGCCATCTTAGATCCAACAACTTGTATAGATTCATCCACAGAAGTGACAAGTTTTATCACAACCTTGGTAAACTTGTAAAAAAATAAGTTCCCAAAATGTTTTGCAGCAAAACCAATGTCACTTCTTGGAGATTAAACATTAGTATAACATTAACCAGTAAAAATGTTTCTACAAAATTTGCATCACCAAGCAAATTTTGTTCGAACACTTTTTTACCAAAACGGCTTATGCTTATCACTTTTTTTCAAAATGAGACCGATGCTTCCCATAATTTCCTAGTCTTCTTATAGATTGTTTCATATTTTTTTATTTCTATATTTTTCTTCTCAGCATGCTTTAACACTAACACTCGAAAGTAAAGCCAGAAACAGTCTATAATCATCTACCTCAATGACTTGATCATTACCACAGAAATGCTTTGCTTTCGCTAACAAAGCTGCTTCTTAGCAAATTGATTCATTAACAAAATCATTGAAATGATTTACCTTGGAAATAACACCTTCACCAAAAACATTGAAATCAAATGAAAACACAATCACAAATAAAATTCAATTTCGTAAAAATCCGCGAGTTTCCGGACATTTAGACACGACACTATTTTAGATGATACCTTGTTATATGAATCATTAAATCCTGTACATTCTAATATAGTTAAAATGTAAATCAAATAATCTAAAACTTTTTCAGGTGAAGACAATTTTTTATATGATTTATTTTTTTCTAAAATCGCTATAGCTTTCAAATTTCTATGTGTTTAGCTTTGTGTAACTAACCTTACCGTGGAGGAACCTCTTTCTTCTAATTATCTTGGTAAACTAACCTTTGATTGGGTTTCAATATAACTTAGAACAACATTAATGTCTTATTTGTACTTTTTACATAAACTGCACCGAAATAACACCTCAGCTGCATTATAACAAATCTTTTACTTTGTTACATCGGCATGTAAATTCACGTTTTGAAAAATTGTCTATTCCAAAACGAATCTTGTTGCTTTTTGCACCATTCTTATGGACTGACCGAGACAGTTTCCTCCACGGCTGTGTTCTGCCCCCAATTCTTTACTGAAAGCCTTTCAAAGCAGAACAAAGTCTAAATTTCGTTTTTGATATTTGCTTAACATAACTCCTCACGGTGGCGGTGTCTAGGCCGAGTAGATTTAGTTCAACAACAACTAACATTAGTTCGGAATGACAGCTAGATTTTTTAATTACTCAATGTGTCCTGCACTTTTGTCGATGTGAACGTTCATTAATAATGTTTAATTAGAACCTGTTGTATGTCGATGTATCACCACACTTGAACACTGGAGTTAGATTGTGAGAGGGCACAGGGCGGCAGCCCGCACTCTGTCGGTCCTTCTAGACTCTTCTAGGTTTCGACATCCTAACCTCACCATTGCGAGCTTGACAATTATTTGAAGCATGTCTGTACTACTAACCCGGCTCGGCGCGAGTCGTTTCTGTTGCCACATCATCATCACAGACAAAAACACCAGGCGTCTAAGACTTAAATGGAATTTTCCAGAAAATCGACGTTCCGTAACGCGCTATCGGCCCTCATATCCAACGGGGAGGATCGTTCCAAAGATAATAGGAAACGTTACAAAAGCGAGTACAAAAAGAAATTTAGACCGTTCTCTCAATACGTGTACGAGGCGTCTAAAGGGACATTTACGAAATGCAGGGGGAAAGGGAAGGCAAATGAGGAGGCGAGCGAGAGGATGCTGGGGGATGCGGGTCAGGGGGTGTCGGGGGCGAGTGCGGGGCAGGGGAGTGGGGCGGGAGGGGTAGCGGGGGTCGGAGATGCCGGGGAGGACAGCGCCAACACGCTGCGCGCGGCCGGCTTGCAGCCGCTCGGCCTGGCCCAGGGTGACTCCTGGTACCGAGAGGTGCTGGACCTGCGCAAGCGCGCCGGCGAATACAAGGTCTGCGCCTGATACATACTAATGTTATACCTGAGAATAGGTCCCGAGATAAACTGAGAAAATATATTGATTGGATACAATAATCCCAATGGGCACAGAACAGAGAAGTTTTCTTTCGAGCCGGACCCACAATACAGGTTTGGTGCAAGCAAACGTACGTACTACACATAATAAAAATTGACTATAAAACAAACTATAAATTTAACCAACCAATAAAAACCCTTAAACCTACCTTAAAAAATTTCTCTGTCCTATGATCCCGAAAAAAACATAGTTTAAAAATTTCTGCTAAACTTAATTATAAACTAGGTAGGTTGATCAGTATTCGTTATCATGAAATTCAACCTCATTCTTATCAAATGCTTTACCATGATCATGCTTGGTATTGAATATTGGCAATATTTCGACAGTACCGCGGCTGGGGGACAGAAATGGCGCCAGAACACATCACACAGCTTTACAATAAGCAGATCGAACTCTGGTACCAAGTGTCCCGCCGATCCTCGCTGTCGGCATTATCACTAGCTTCCACAAATCACAAGTAAGTGATGCACTAAGCAATTGGCTTATTCACCTCAAAGGACCCAGTTCCGACCCAAAACACCAGGACTGTATAAAACACCCAAAGATTTACGACGACAAAATTGGCCGGTGATACGAGACTAGTTTATTTTTACCCCAAATTTAGCAAGACAACAATGATGGCTTAACGTAAATAATTGGTTAAGGACGCATAAGCATAAGCTTGTAAGCAAAATGGTCCTTCGAGATGGATAAACCAATAAGCTTTTATCTAATCATAAGTATATTTAGTGGCAATAAGGCTGATGCAATCAAAGAATGGCTTGAATGGCGGACGGAAGCCATGGTATCCCATGCTAATCGTAGCGTAGTATCATCAGCCTTTTTAGAATTATTTTTAGAAAGGTGACTGGGAGATTTTTGATCCTGGCCATGGTAAGTGGATCCAAAAACATCGAAGCGAAGCTTATGAAAACATGAAAAACTGTGTGAGGTCTTAAGCACAAAAGTGTTAATTGCACAGCAAATAAAACTCCTTGTGAAACCAGTTCACTTGTGGAGTTAATTTTTGAATGTTTTGAAAAAACTATGTCAATATGATGTGTAAATCAGTTATTATGTAAATCCCTTCTCAAATCACTTTGTTCTTCCCAGGGCATTGCCTCGCGACGAGAAAGATGGAAAGGAATCCAAAGGCCACTCGCCGAAGAAGTTCAGGTCCTTCAGGTCTGCCCCTCACCAGTCTATCCACGCGAAGTTACAAGAGACGAAGGCGCTGGAACGCTCACCTCATAAGACTTCGCCTCAGAAGCAGAGGAAGAAGCTGCAGGGACATAGCTTCGATGAAGGTGCTACCCAGGATGGTGAGTCTTGCCAGATTATCTGATTCCTAATGACATAAATTATGATAAGCATTTAAGTTACAAGAACAAGAAGACTTTGAGTATAAACGAAATGAGGATAAGCCTAGTCAGGGGTGTGATATCAATGTCCTACTCTCTTCTTCCAGGAGCAAAGGGAGAGAATGCGGCCTTCAGGTCTCCCAGGCGGCGACCTCGTTCAGCTGATCCAGCGCCCGCCGCAGCGCACGTGAAGCTCCTCGCCAATGGGCACGAACCTCACCCAGCACCCATTAAACCTACTGGTAAGAAATGTATAGCTTCTTGTTGTAGTTATCAAACGCTAGATGAAATCCAAGAAAACTTTGATTCAAAACATAAATTTGGAAAATCACATAATGCTGCGCTAGTTTCCAGGCATTATTTTACATTATTTTGTTTTCTATCAACGATGCCTGATCTCCTAACGCCTCATAGATTTCTCGCAAGAACTATTAAGAAGAAATCTATGAATGGGTGACGCTAAAATTAAAAACCAGCAGGTTGCATTTAATTAAATGAGCAAGGGTGATCATTTTGGGCTTCATGATTTTCATCATATAAAACAAAAAAATGAAGATCGTTTAGAGGCTAATAATTATTGGAAAAATAGAGTTAGTTTACATTTTTCATCAAAGAACTTTAGACAAACTCTGAATAACATAACAATTTCAGAGTCTGTACTTCTGTTATAGCAATTAGTCTTCTAATCCTGGTGTGATGCTCATCGCACCAGGTCAAAGAGTAGTGAAATCTTTCTGTTCTATTCTATCCTAGATTCTGTGTCTAGACATTATATTAAGCTAATCGATGTCTGTACTAATCTGTTGTGTTCCTGCCTGATGCCTGTCCCCTGTCCCGTATGGCTAATTTGTGAGAATATGGCTCTAATCCTAGCTAAATTATTCTTAATTCTAAAGCCTTAAATGTGGAAGAAACGGCAAACAATTTGGAAAGAAGAATACCAGCTTAGATTCTTTCACAATGTCTTTTTACGCATAACAAGAGCCATTTCTCAGTAGCCAAAAAAAAGTAGAAAAAACTTTCTTCTGTAGGTTTGCAGTTGAGTAGAGGGAGTAGTAATAGAGTTAGGTCGACATCAAGGGGCGGACGGTCGCCGTCAGCGCCGAGCAAAACTGGGGCTGGGGCTACGGGGACAACTGGGGCTACAGGGGCAAATGGGGCTCCGGGCCGAGGGCGCCGCAGCCGAAGTGTGTCAAAAGTCGGCATAAAGTTGGGTGCGTAACTATACAGGTGACAGTACAGTTGCGTCGACGCTCTATGTTCTAAAATGATGCTTATAGCCCGTGATGCTTCTGTCTTGGTCTGTTACGATTGGCAATGTGTTTGGCCTCCTGTGGCTTTGAAGATTGATGTTTTAATTCCTTTTACTGTCTCTTTATTAATTGGAAACTTAATTCTTCTAACAAATTTTGTTCAAGAAAATTCTTTTGAAACCAAATTCTGTTCGATTGTTAAAGAGATAGTAAAAGAATTGAGTTTGAATTTTGAAAATTGAAATTTGTCAGTTTGTAACGCATTCTATTTTGTATGGCTCAGTTCTGCACGACATGACACTCTTTGTCTGACTGGCAGTAGATGTAGCTGTGAGTTGGACAAAATGGCAATATTACCCCCAACATTGAACTGTATAAAATCTGGAATGTGTTTTAAACTTAGTGATTGGATTGAAGCTTCCATGTGTCCTGTGAGCTTTGTTTTATGTTGTGTTTAGTGCGTCAACGCAACGTCTGATCACTGATGAGCGCATTGGCACCGACTAAGGGAATGGCTTCGTCACAAAGTGTGGTTGTTTGTCCGTCTTGTCCGTGTGATCACTCTGCACACCCACTTGTACTCTTAGATGTTCAAGAACTCAATTAGAATCAACAGCAATTTAGAATTTAGCAGTGACCTTTAAAATAAATGAATTAGTCGCAAAATTACTGAGCAATAATTTAGTTTTTATGAACACATTGTTTTCGTCTGCAAGATCCTTTTCAACCAATTATTTCACAAAATGAGACATTTTTAAGTCCCTAATATTTTTTGAGTAGCTGGTTTAAACTGGTGAACATTACCCTCTTCTAGACATACCAAAAATATCACTTTTTAGCAATGACGTATTATATATAGACACGTCATGAACCAACATTGCAGCGCTTAAAAACGGCGAAAATACTAGATAACTACTTCTACGAGTAAAGAGAGGGAAAGAAAATATGACATCGTATAGTGGAATGCCTTTGCTAGAGGGAGATAAATATACATCTTCAGTTACATCGGCACGTGACTATACCTTCATGCGCCGGCCGCCATAAGATGGCGGGCGCCGGCGTCGAAAAAATAAAATAAAAATAGGTTGTTTGGTGAACTTACGCATGAAATGACACATTTTTGTCTTTAACTTTTGGAGTATAATTTGTACATCGTCTGAACACACACGACGGCATGCTTTCTTTATGTTTCGCACAGGTTTACACACACGATATAAATTAAAAACAAACGTAGCGTCGCGCGGCAGGTTGGTGCGTAACTAAGCGCGATGTTGTCAATTGCCTTCATTTCATGTTGTCATTTTAGAGCGCGGACAACGTATCTATAGTTTTATACATCATTGCTTTTTAGGCACTTAAATTATTTTGTTTAGGTTAGGTTAGGTTAGGTTTGGAGCAAATACTTTAATGTTTTCTGTGATCGTACTTAGTGTGACGTGTTTAGATGTCATTCACCGAAAATAGTGTTCCCGTATTATTTTGACAATGTTTTTATTTGCATGCGATGTGTACATTTCTATTAGATTCTGCGTTTGCAACTGAATGTTTGTTAGACTATTTAGTTTCTTTTTAGTTTTATTTTGTATTCTTCGTTTCCTGACATGTTCATGTATAAATAAGACTGATTCATTTTATTTCTGTGTGTATACTTTTATTTTTGTATAAAATTAAGTGAATTTTTAAATTATTTTTAAAGGTAAAATCATAAGTAGGTACAATAAGTAAGTTAGTACTTAGTGAACAACATTTAAAAAAGATAAAAATCAAATATCTTGTAAGTATATCTATTTATTATGCTGTGGTGTGCTAGACAATATGGCGCCAAAAAGTTATTATAAAAAGGTGTCCGCCATTACAGTAAATGTTGCATTATTCTCCAATGTTGCCACAGACAAAAATTTATAATACCTAATATTTTTAATTTGTTCAAATGAGTAATATAGTATTTTTTTAAAGCATTAATTTTGATATTGGTAAGTTGTAAGTGGTTGCAGCATATTAATAATAATTCCTTTTCCCAAAAAAATTACCTCTCAATCTATTTTACAAACACAAGAAATTAATATTAAGTTAAAGATGCCAATTATATTGTCAAATATAAATTGTCACTTTATTTCAAATTTCAAACCCATTTTGGTATGTATCGTTGTAGTGTTCTTGGAAACAGTAAGTTGGACTTCAAATAACTGTGTACTTATCGGCAATATTATTCTTTTAAAGAGCTAAGCTTAAATAGCTTTAGGACAACCTGAAAAAGTAAGATTAGTCGCTTTAAGTGTATTTTACTTTTACCATTTAAATAATGGCAAGAATTGCATTTTACTATCTATGTTTGAATAAAATTAAGTACGGAAATGAAAAAAGTATTTATTTTTCTACTCCTCTTTGATTTAACAAAAATAATGCTCCATGTTTTGGGATAATAGCTTTCAATATCTACCAGAAGTAATTTCAGTGACTTTAAGACTGCGGTTTCTAGGAACAAAGCAAAGCGGAGATCTACCAATCACGTATTTGAAATCCATATCTGCTCCACTCCGATTGGTGGATGTGAATTTTAAGATACGTAATAGTTGGATCGCGGCACTGTTCTTGTCTGTTCAACTCTATTCCGCCTCAATGGAATCGTACCTTAAAACTTTATACACCTTAAAAACCAATTAATTCAATGAGTAGAACTTTGAAAACTGCTAACGATGTACCCAAAGGCACATGACGATACATACTGGTTATTTTTGGCAATATTCTTTAACCAATTGCGCTTTCCAGATGACGAGATCCCCTCGCACCGCAGCGCCTCCGTTGCGAAGGATCACTTCTTTGATGACTCTCCTGTCGTCAAGTCACCCCCTGAACCAACCAGGGTCAAGTCTCCCGAGCAAATGAACATGCGATCTCCAGATCCGGTCAACTGGACTGTCCCGTTGGACACCGGAAAGACGTTTACCGTCACCCAAAATGTGAAAAGCGGTGAGTGTAGGAATCTCATCAGATTAGGCGGAAAATGTAGCTAGATTTAACTAGGATTACTTGGTGGAACTGATTTTACGAGAATCGTTAATATTTTGCCGATATTTAAGGTTTTCTTCGAAGTTTTTTGAAGATTTTCGAGGTTATCTTTTGAAATTTTGTCGATCTTTGTAAGGTTGTAAACTTTTGATGATTAATGATTGAATTTCGCATTGTAATATATTAGTAATGCTTTTAAATGAATGAAATTATGTCCAGGAGAAAATAGGAGTGACTGAGCTAGATAATTACTGTTATAATAGTTGTTAGAAAATTACAAATATTTTTTCTTCGTAAGATTAGTCACACTTTTTGATGTACAAAAGATAAAGAGTATCTTTTTCTATTTGTAGGATGTTAGCACGATGCTACTTATGGTGATGGTGTTGCCATGTAAAATATCGCACTTTTTCAAATATGTCACATTTTTTCGAATAAGATACTCTTCGAATGACCAGTTCTAAATTGAATTAAGATCATTGACTTGTTACAATATGTAGGTAATTAAGGTTTAGGAAATAAATTCAAAACAAATATAAGCCATCACACTGTCATGTCACAACACTGGTAGAGAAAAGGTCTCATAGTCATCCAACCATTTTTGAAGTGTGACCACCCTAGTACGGATTAAGTAGAGCTTGCAACACTAACACAAATGACACAGTAAAATCATGTGCATTGAGACGAAATATTTCAAATGGTAACACACTCATTAAAATCCCTATCATTGAACATTTCACATCTTTTGTTCGTACACAAAAACTGTTTTATTTAAATACTGTTCTAAGTCTATCGAAACATGACATTGGCAACTTTGATCACGACTGAAATGTTACAATTGACATTAGAGGCAGAACACGATATAATGTAAAATAAAAAAGTTTCACCGTCACGACTTTAGAGTGGCAGTATAGTCGACAACACGGTATTAAAGATTGGGTTGCCATTCAAAAAAATAAAGTTGCAACTGTCACTTTTGTTAGACGTAGAACGTAACGTTAGTCCACTTCATCAGACCATACAACTCGCTCACCATTTCAGATGAGAGCATTAAGCGCCCTAGCTCTGAGTTTAAGGGTGGCTCCGTAGCCGAAGAAGCAACTGTGAAGCCGGCAGGTACGACGAACACAGCCACCGCCTAGACCATCGGCCATACACGTTTTAATGAGTGTGACAGACGATGCGACAGTGAACTCTAAGCACTAACAAGTAGAGTTCACTATCACATAAGCACGACACACGATCGACACCAGAAAAAAAAATATATAATCTGTTTTATATTACTATATCTATAAAATAAATAGTTCATGATTAAATTGTGTTACTCCAATAATTGAGATGCTTTTATTTATTTTGACCGTACTCCGCTGAGGCGTCGACCACGTATGTATTCACTTGTCTGTGTGTGTCTGTTTCGATGTTTGCGTACACTGTCACTGTATGGCACCCGAATTCTAATTGTTTCTCCATGTCATTAAAATCGTTCACTTTTGCATGCTGCCTGTCTCTATCTGGGAACCTCTCGGTGTATGCTTTCATCTCATGACAGTAGCCTTGTTAGATCCATATTGGCCTATTGTCAGTAACTACGTTTATTGAGCTAGTTTAGGAAAATTAGGTCTTAATTACTTTAATATATGTATTTAATTATATTCTTAAGCATTATCTCAACTGCATATTCATGAAGGTTTTTAATAAAATGAATAGTTGCATGTCTTCTTCGTAACTAAAGGTATTAGTCGAGCTATTTATTAGCATTTCAAAGTTTAGATAGTTGTTAGCATGATATCTTGTTAGGGTACTCAAATATAAGACGTAAGCATGTATAAGTGAAGTAACTGGGTCAATGATATGGGCTGGAATGCAGCCAGTCAATTTAATACCTTGACGCCTAAATAATTAGGTGGTAAACGCAGTCCCTTAAGGAAATGTAGGTGAGTAACAAAAATGATGCCGAAATTAAAAAGTTGAGCACCCTACAGCAACAGGCTAGGAGACATCTCAACCTGTCAATCCTTCATTGTCCTTTATGATGTCAATTAATTTGCTTTTAATAACTAAAATATGTGGTTGTTTCGTACCTATATGCTTTTCGAGCTGAAAAAAGGACAATGAAAGATATCTTGTATGTGCTTAATCGGTGTACGAATGGGAGTTCCAAAATGTTCAATTTTAAACACACTAAAAAAAAACTAACAAGAACAGACGTTAATTTCTTTCTGAATCATCTAACCAAAAGTCATTCATACTCTTCGTACTAAAATTCTTTTGTAACTCCCAAAAAAATTCAAGATGACAAGGGCAAACGAATAAAAGAAACAAAATATAACTGTTGCAGAAATCGCTCCAATTCATCACCAGCAAATGTCACCAATACGTTCGCTGAAAAAGAGCGAATCGCCAACTAGCCTGAGCAAGCGCACAGACAAAACACCGACCACCCCGATAAGCCTTACTCCCATCGATGAAACGAAGGCTTTGGACATGAACAAAGTGAATGGAATCAACGGAGTGAACGGAGTGAATGGCGTCAACAGCAATGAGCTTACCCCCGAAACCCCAACACAGGAACCGATTCAAGAGAAGGAACTGATCAAGAAGTCGACTGAGGCCACCCAGATTGCTCCTGGAGTGGTGGATACTAACGTGGTGAATGAGGCTCCGGCTACCGGCGGTCTGACCGCCTCGGAGATACTAGATAGGGCCCGCACGAGGTTTGACAAGTTCTGGGGCAAAAAAGAAGAAGACAACGTTTAGTTGATTCCAAGTTAGATTCACTTTACACGATAAATTGTGTCTTAATGAAGTATTATAATACATTTCTTTGTATTATTGCAAAAAATCTTACCAACAATAAGTAATAACAATGTTGTAATACAAATAAATGTTTAATAAAACTGAAAAAGCTTTAAATTCAACGACCTTAGCTAAATAATTCTGACTCCATAAAGACACAATTTTTGTTAGCAAAGTTGACAACTCAATAAAAGTAGGGAAAAATTAAACGCAATGTTTAAAAACAGATAAAATATGAAAAAAAGCTTCGCTTTATAACGACGACTGTATTAATATGTATTTAAATATTATTTGATATTTATTATCATAAAATCACTGTCTATTTAATAGGAGTGTGGTGGCTTGTGATAGTAGTAATGACAATGACTAGTAATTAATTATTGTATGTGTTTATTATTGATGTTTATTTAATTAATTTATTGTATTTATAACGACGTATGACAGATTTTCGATTAAATACTTTTAGTATAAGACCTAAATAATCTTGTTGAAACTTAATCTCATACTATAATTACTGTTTCTTTCCAATTTGCTGTCCTGTTTTACTTGATGTATTTTAATGAAATTGTTAAAATGTAGGTAAATATTAATTGATGTTGATCTTTAGTATATGTTACCTGATGTTACTTTATATAATTATGTGATTTCTACAGCTTATAGTGCTAGCTTAGCTCCAATATACAAAATTATTATTTTTTTTTTTACCCTCAAACAAGTTAGGTTCTGCCTACTTAGCATTTCGTTTGAAAAAATAGTACTATTTTTGTCAAGTACACTACAGTTAATTTCATTTCTAAATAGAAATGCAATTAATAAGATTTTTAATAAAATACAATAAACAAGGGCAAAGTATACAAAACATATAATTAAAAGCCGTCCATGTAGTGTTTATTGGCGAAAATTAATTTTAGTTGTCGATACAGTTTTTGAAAGGAGATATTCTGAACGCATTTTTATTAGTCAATGAAAAAAAGTTTAGCCGAATCTATGAGCCAATTACATCACTTCTCATAAATGTCATACTATTTTGGCGGGAATATAAAATTATTAAAATAAAAGCAAATATTTAGCGAAAATTTAAACCTAAACTTTATAAAATGGAAATATCTCGCAAGTCCTGCCGCTTATGTCTCACAGAGACGGAGTTTAACGTGTCTATATATAGTAATTACGGCCGGAGAACGAATATGGTAGACAAAATTCTAGTCTGTTTGAAAATAGTGATTGAAGAGACCGATATTCTGAACACAATTTGCTACAAATGCGCCGAAAACGTAGAAAGGTATTACGATTTTGTTATGTTTATAAAGAAATCACAAACGAAACTAGTCGAGCCGCAGCGTAAAATGGAAAATTCTGTCAATCGTCGTTTGATCGCGTCGTACGTACGCGAACAAGTTTATGACGCGGACTACACCTTCTCATTTCTCGACAACGAAGAGAAGAAAGAGCCAAGATCATCTAGTCCGTTCTTTTCATATTTTTCTCCACCAAACATGTTAGTTAAACGTACTGGGGAGGAGCCTGTGTGGAAAACGCCAAAGCCGCGTAGAGAGAATTTAGATAAACATGAAATAAGACAAGATGAGAAGTTGAAAAGACAATATAGGCCGGAGAGGCCCCGGCATCATTCTAGGGACTTGTTCGAGTCTCAATCTCAGGACGTAGATGATACAGACTTAAAGCCTCTAGACTGGAAATTGACACCAGACGATAACATTATAAAAAGGGTTAGGGACAAATGCTTTGGACGCTCTGATTTTTAGATCTTTATGTTCAACCTATATTACACTTTATTCTTCATGAAATTAAGTTGATTTCAAATGTAGAACTTCTATGTATTTGAATGTTATAATATTTCATTAGGAGCCTATGTTACACTAGGTTTTGTATAAAGAAAATATTCCAATTGTATGACTTCATTGCCTGTCGTAAATATTTTTACATTAAAAATATGTTAAAAGACAGTGAGAAGTTTATTAACTACAGATTGGCTAACATTCTTACGATTTTTTAAATTAATTGAACCTTTTTTGTAATTTCTATTTAAAATAAAGAGAATACTTGAGTAGTTTTCTAAGTCAAAAATAAATTAATTTGATTTTTCAATACCTACAATAAATTATTGAAATAAAATCATATTTTCTTTTATTGATTTTAACTACATACTTAATTTTACATTGATTGTAACATTTTTTTTAGAAATACCTAAGTCTAATGCTATTTGACATACTTATTTAAACATTATACAAAATTCATAGAAAAGTGTGTTTTTTTAATATAGGTATTGGATTTGACTATTTGAAAACTACCTACCAGATTATTAAAATCAAGTTCCTGGTTAATTTGAGTATAATGCAAAGTTATGAAAAAGACTTAGAGACAATAGTTATTTATAATCTGTTATTGTAATTGATGTCAATATAATATCAAAATAAAATACCTCTTCACCCACAGAATGGAAAAAATCTCTTACAGAATCATTTTGTATCTGTAAAAATAGTAGATGCACCATTTTTTTTTTATTTTCACATAAGTAATACTTATAATTGTATTAACATTAAAAAGGTGTAATATAGGTTTTTTTAATTGTGAATTAATTTTACATTAAAATTGTTGCGTTTGTTACATTAATTTATTACTTTTTTTTAACATTTATATTTTATTGTTTTTAATATGAGAGAGGGTACTAAGAAAGTTTTTAATGGCCTGATTTTTAAGCTGATTGGCATTTTGATGTTTAGGTATTTTTTGAGCTGAGTATTATGTAAAAAATATATAGCATAACAAATTCTTGAGGTATACCATAATTTAAGTATGAAATAAACCCAATTTCCCTTAGTCATAGCGTCACACGTGAATGGCTAAACCGATTCTTACAATTCTCTGCATGCTGTGGAGGTCTTAAATAAAGAAAATATTAACAACCATTTCGACATCGTGACGGTTTGCTAGACACCTAAAGAAATATAAAAACTACATAATCTCAGCTCGGAATACAGTAATTTTATTTAAACAAAAACCAAAGGATGATGTAAGATTTGACACGGAAAAGACAACTACCCACAGAATTGAGAGCTCACGCATAATTGTATGGATTTGTATGAAAACTAGATATTTAGTGAGCAGCGTTTTGTATGTAAATGTACTCAATTGTGTAGAATGATATTATAAAACAAATAATTTTAATTTAGTTCCTATCAGAGTCCATTCTCGCATCCTTCCATAAATATTTAATAGTTTGTTCTAATGAAATGTCGTTATTTTTTAAAAGCTTTTTGCTAATTTAATGTGTATTTGAGTACTTTGAAAATTTGGACTGTTAAAAAGAGAACATGGAACTCTATGCTTTCAATTTCTTCAATTATAAATTCAAAATTAATTATTTTCAACTAGCAAATATAAACTTAGATTAAAATAAAACCAACTCATAACATTTTTAACTTGAATTAACCTGAATAAAACATTTCAAAGTACTTAAATACACATATTGGGAATACCATCTTAAACATACTTGTAAACTAGACGTGTATGTACGATAAGTGTAACTGTAATAATGCTCTGGGAATCCTGATTCAGTTTATCTGACCTGTTTTAAAGAGCCCACGTTGGGCGCCAATTGTTTCAGAATTTAAGTTCCTATAAATGTATTATTGTTTTCGCACAAAATGTTTTATTTTTTCTTCCGTGGTGTATGTAATGCCCTTCCCTGTGAACTCTAGTGATAATACTCCCCTCAATAGCAGATAATGATTACAAAATTTTAGCTTTGCTACGGGTTTATAATAGCGTGTGTTAATTTTCAGTTGTTAACATCAAAATGGACACCTAAATAAAAACTTGAAAATGTTTTTGTATTTTATTTTAATTGTTTGGTATTTTCTTTCCGTAAGATAGAAAGAAAGAAAGAAAGAAAGCAAGAAACATTTATTCACATATATATTGTTAGAGGTAAGGATAAATACTCCTGTTTTATTAAAAATCAGGAGTCTCTATTGAACACAATTTAAAGCCCCAAAGAAGAACAAATTCAAATCATTGACTTATTTCAATTAGACCTTTCCAGGCTCTTTTGAACGTCAAACAAATATTCAAAGGTCAGACCTTTTGAAGTGTAGCTGTTTGTTCGTTTCAAAGAATAGATACCGATGGGGAAGAATTAACAAGAAACTATGGTTACCCTTATGCAATCAGTTTAGTAGGTAATAAGATTCTTTGTTATGCTGTTGGTCCCAGTACGTGAGAAAAGTGTAACACTAATATTTAGTCAAAATAACAGAAATAATAGACATGTAATTATGTACATACATCAGCACCGCCTAACACAACCGTAGATATTATAGGAATTCAAGCGATTGCGACCACCAACGAGACCTCTACGTGAGCATGACAACTTCAAGCTGACATAAGTACCTACATTCTGCTAGTTTAATTTAATTGTAATAGATTACAGGACACACATTTACAAACTTATCAAGGTTGACAATACACTGACATATATCGCCCAGGTCTAGTGATATTTCAATTAAGCATATAGGTAACTAAAGTTCTATTAACTTTTCTTAAGACAGCTAAACATTAAAATAAATCTTCTTTAATAGCTTTACTAATCTGATAATTAACTTTGAGGTAAAGTTAAATTTAAAAAAAGACTGAAGTATAGATGACAAAACTCTTACAAAACTATCTTAACTCTATTTTTGAAATATCAAAACCTTAACAAAATATTTTATAACATAAGTGTGGGAGAGCCAGGCTTCGGCACGAATAGGTCGGCTCGACCGGAATGATACCACGGTCTCACAGAATACCGGCTTGAAACAACCCACAGCGTTGTGTTTCGCCGTGTGAGTGAGGTAACCGGAGGCCCAAACCCTCCCCTTCCCTTATTTTCCCAATCCTTATATCCACAACCCCTATCCCCAAAAGGCCGGCAACGCACTCGTAACTCCTTTGGTGTTGCGAGTGTCCATGGGCGGCGCCGATTGCTATTACCATCAGGTAATCCGTTAATAATATATAATGCTCGTTTGCTGATTTATCCCATAAAAAAACATAAAATAAATAATCCGTGGATCCACCACTCGCCAGACACACCTGCAGCGGTTCTGCATACTCAATGCAAAGGGTATCAATAATTGTGGAATATTGTCCCTGATGCAAGAAAAGCCTAACTAAGATGCAAGAAAAGCTGGTTTTTATGCCAGGGGAATTCCTAAGAGCTCTTCTCTGAAGCATGTTCCAAGCATGCTCAATAGGAAAGCCAGGGGATTGTGGCCAGTCTAAAGCTTGGATGTCATACTGTTGTAACCAACATGTTACGATACCTACGTATGTGAACGGGCATTATCTTGCTGGAAACTTTCTCATATTTATTATCTGCGCGGCAAGATTTAAGGCTCTAGCACATTATCTCGGTTTTTAAAGCAGTCATATTGCCTAGTATCCAAACAATATAAGTTACAACGAGACGAATTCCTGCCCAAACGACATTCGCGCCACCTCGATATGCATGAACTTATTGTGGGTGTTTCAGATGATTTAAATGTCCAGGTTCTCTCCAAACGCGTATTCTGTGCGAATACAAACCTATTTGTTCCCGTTTTCGTGTGCTTGATCCATTGCCCATTGTACTTGAT